AAGTTACAAAAGAATGCCAACACAAAGTGGTAATAAAGGCAAACATGTCCCCTGTTTCTGTTGTCCATAAAGGCTGCACCCAACAACGTGCTACCAATTACCCCCAAAATTCACATATTTACAATTTGAATGCTGCAGGCAACTTTAAATTATTAGTTATTAGCAGTGATGGGAATAACGGCATTACTTTTTTCAGTAACGTAATCTAACTAATTACTATTCCTATCGTTACAACGCCGTTACAGTTACTAACAAGAAAATGCGCTCCGTTACTATTTTTCAACAAACAGACGGATGAAGCTGTGTTCAGCTTACCGCATCTTATATCAGTTGCACGGAAGTAGCTGACTACGTAAGTAATATGGACGCTACAGCTTTAAGTAGCTGCGCGCGCTCCCGCGGACGGTAATCACGATCACTGTCTAGCACAACACCTGGAGCTCAGGGGGCAAAACAATTACATGAAGTGCTGCTGTTTGACTGAGGAAGAATAAAGTAGTCGTGGTAAGCCAATCACATGACCACTTAAAGACAAAGCAACAACAAGGTGATACCAGTTTATAAATTGTGTTGATAGGCCACAGAGTCATGATAAATAATATATACGCGGCGTTTTTTCCTCAATAGTTTCGTCATGTTTACTGTCTAAGGACAGCGCAGCAAGCACTCTCTGCTTATGAGCAAAAAAACAAAAAACCCGGGAAGTTTTAGGAGTGACGGCGAGAGAGAGAGAGAGCAAAAAGAGAGACAGTTTTGAGATGTGAGAGATTTGTGACGTTTAGCGTGTTTGGAGTGTGTAGTTAGTGTGTAGTGTTGTGGATACTTTTGTGTTGTGTGTCAGAACAATGAGGCGACTGCTGTCTCCAGGTAGAAACAGGAGTGATACACCTGCTGCTGTCAGACCTGCAGGTATCAGGCTGTGATGTTCTCCTTTATAGTGGACAGAAATTATTTTTTTGGAGTGGTACAAATAATTTGTGTGGCATCTTATTGAATGCAGAACAGCTGATTGTTATGTAAATAGTTTGAAATAGTAATTTAAAAAAATCAAGGTAAAAGGTAAATGGATGCAAATATGTTGTTGTTTGCAAAACTTGTGCATAGGATTTTAAAATTGACAATTTATATTTGCATTTAAAGTTATGAAATATGATTCATTAAACATGTTTGTGGTTGTTACAGTAAAAATACAACATTTTCTACTCTGATTTTATGTTTTTTGTCTGATTTTAGATCAATTGTGTTAATACAGTATGTCAAAATGAAAACATAACTGTAAATTCAGACACGTGAGGTTGTGCTGAAAGGAAAGATACCAAACAAGGCAAAGTAAATAGTTTTTAAAGGTGAAATGTAGTTAAAAATGGCCAATTATACCCTGGACCCCAGAGGGTTAAACTTTTTTAAAGTAACGCAATAGTTACTTTTCAAATAATTAATTACTTTTAGAATATTGTAACTCAGTTACCTTTTTGAAGAAGTAACTAGTAACTATAATTAATTACTTTTTCAAAGTAACTTCCCCAACACTGGTTATTAGTACTAGTCAAGAATATTAGCAAATGTACTGTTCTGCAGTCCTAAACAGAGCTCAGTATTATCAGAAGCTTTTGCTCATCTGTATTTAAAGAAGTGAGTTTAAAAGCATTTTGAAAGCAAGTCGAAAACCCAACAGAAGCAAAAAAAGGATTAGGATACTTTGCAAGGGCAAACTTTATCACACAACACATTATGTTGTCTTTTGATGTCTGGTGCTGAAATAGAGTTAATAATACATAGATTAAACCCAGTGTTTATGAGCAACATTCTCCTTCTTAAACAGTAATGACCTATGAGTCCTTCAGGTAGTTTCTCTAAATAAAGACAATGGATAAAGTGTAGCATGCTGGTGCTCTTTTTTTTCTGTCCGTGAGATTAGCACACACGGCGTTCCAGCTGCGGTTCATAAATGGCAGGAGGAAAACAGTTTGGAAGAAATTACATTTAAAAATCTAAATATGAAAAATGAAAACATTAAAATCCATAAAGTAGAAAAGACGATACTGGACAAATGTATGAAAATCATATCTATACATAGTTTCAAATGTGTACAGTGCATACAGAGTACAAAAGAACTATAAGTAAGTATTCTTAAAGGAAGTAAACAGTGTGTCTGAGAGCTTGTTGGCATCAGTAAATGACCTTTTCATTTTGAATTCTTTGCTAAATATTAAAGTCCCTTTGAAAAATCAGCAATTGACCCTTTGTGAGAGTATTCCTTTAGCTCATGCTAGACTAGAGATCCGGCCTGGTTCTGTGCAGGAACCATAATGGGCACTCCTCCCATTCGGGAGATGTTGGAGGCCATGATGGTGGAGGTGGGTAGTGGTGGCGGGGAGGGAGTGGTCTGGAGCTGCAGCCGAGGCTGGTTGTACGTTTGCGGCAGAGCCTGTGCCTGAGGCAACTGGGTGTAGCGCTCGGGTCTGGGCATGGAACCGCCATTGCTGCCGGCCTCGGGGGACAATGGCTGTTCACGTGGGAGGGTGGTGTTGTTGTTGTAGCTGTAATGGGTGGGAGTGGAGGCCCCGTGGTGGCGGGACGGTCTATAGCCGGCATTGCTGCCTGTGGCGGTGATGATGGATGCAGTGTCTGAGGGGGGGCGCTGTGGATACTGCTGCAGGTGGTGGTGGTGGTTGTTGTGGTGATGGGAGGACTCTTTGTGGTGTGGGCTGGAGGCGATGGAGGACAGGGTGCCATTCTTGGAGATGATGTCAGAACCCATGCCGCTCTTAGCCCATGACACACGCTTGGGAGCCTGAGCATCCTCCCTGTAGACATCGAGGTGCAGGATTACTTATTTGTGACGTGTAGATTAATTTTAGAAATGCATAATTAGTTCACAGTGACACTGAAATGGAGTACTTCATTAAATCTTGAAACTATGGTAATTTGTTTCTGCTATCACAGGATATGAAAATTAAATCTGAAAAACAGGCTTCTTAAACAGGTGTTCTTCTCTTAGACTGGGAAAAACAAAAGCATCGAGTCGATGGTTCAAGCAGCAGCAAATACCCAGTGCTAGTGATAGAATCACTTTAGTTTGAGAAATGTGCAAGATCAAAATGTGCATTCCTGTGCAATTGGTGCAAGCCAAAAATAAAACCTGGGTCATCTGCAAAGGACTAAAATTGATTTGATTCAAAGCAGCAGCAACAAGAACTTCATCTACCAACGCTGCGACTTGTGACTTGCCTGAACTGACACTGTTTAGCACTGTGGCAAACGGGTCCTGGTTCAGATCTGCTGGCCAGCTGAGATGCTGTTACGAATTTAAAATGATAAAATTCTGCTTGCATTTAAGCCACATTGACTCACTTGATTTCATTGGCCAAGTCATCCTCGTTGTTTCTTCTCCTTATCACAAAGACAAAAGCGAGGCACACAAAAAGGAGGAAGATGAAGCCAGCCACTGAGCCAACTGTGGCACCAACAATCACCCCCACTTTATTGGCTGGAATTAAAGAACATACAATTACTATCTCAAAGAATTTAAAAACACTTTTATTACCTCATTTCGTGTAGAATCAATAGTACTTGTACAGCACTGGCTAGAAAAGCAGATTGTTTTATATTTGAGTCATGTAAAGATATCCTTTCTGTTTGACATAGAGATGGACTAATCAGGTGACCAGTTGTGTTGTGGCCTAGCAAATCAGTTTTAAGCTACAATTCAGTTTCATTTATATAGGGA